CAAAAGTTTAAGTCCGTTGAATAAAAACCTAATATCTCAAGCCTTTATATCTTGTCTATTATCCTATGTACTTATTCGATGTTTTAATATAATATTATCATCCTTACCAATCCATAATGGTTTTTTTGCAATTTTAGTCCCAGCAATCTTGAGAAGGCTATCTTTTTCTGTAGCAAGATTGTCATGATAGATTGAGACTCCATCGTTATCGATACTGATACCCGCAAAGTCCCTGAATAAATAATATAGATACGTATAATTTAATAAGTTTTTGTAAAATAACGTAGATAAAAATCCATCCATAATTTTAATTTTTTTTAGTAGGATTAAGATATTCATATACTTTATGAGTATTCTGATAAGCAACTTAAGTATTCATTAAGATCTAAGATTCATTAAGTTAATGTAATACTCAAGTAATATTTTAACGTAATACCATTAAACTATTTTTGAATAACGTAAAACTATGAAAATGAAAATTCAGTCTGCATTTGAAAAGTTTTAAAAGAGAACTCGTTTTCTTTTTTTTAAATAGTAGTAGTGTTAATGCATATTGTTTTGGAATGTTACATTTTAAACGTTTATTCTACACTAATAAGAATTATATTATATTTTTAAATGATGACAAACTCTTTAATTATGGTGCAATTTTTTACTTTCTTGTTAAAACGATATGGACGCGGTCAATAATTATTTAGTTTATTTTTGATTATTATTAAAATGTAAAATTAATTTTTTACTATCTAATTTTAATGATTCTGATACATTGTCTCATCTACCCATTTATTTTTTCGTAAAAAATAATCTTAAATTTTTTATGCAATCAAAGCAGCTAAAAAAAGAAATAAAATAAAATTAACTCACGGATGCCAAGTAATAGCAGTAAGCGCCGATCCAGCGACACTAAAGTAGTCTTGAAGGTACTGCTGCTGCTCGTGAGTTTTAAAAGTAACGACATCAGGTCCGATAACGATGCCACCGTTAGTGGCCTCGTCGCTGTAACGCGGGAACGCGTCCAGCATTTTGCGCAACCGTTGTACCTCTTGGCCCAGCTTTGAGCCACTTGTTTTGCAGCGTGCCTGGCATTCTGTGAGAAAATGTGCATGCGATAGTTATTTGGAAGTTTTTTTTTTTTTTTTATGTAGCCCACACGAGTTTTATTATTTATCAGGGCTGGGAATACTTGTAGAGATTTTCTTTTTTGATGAAGGTTTTTTTTTCACCATTGATTAGAAAATCAAGTTAAATTAAGGGTTTCTTTGAATATAAAACATAGTACTGAGTCTAGGTTTAGTAAAATAGTTTAGAGAAAGTTAAATGAAAACAAAAGATTTAGCTTATTTGGACTCAGTACGCAATCGTAATTATAATTAAAAATTATTCAGTTTATGAGCACACAAGTGATATTTTTTATATTTTGTATGCCAATGTGTACAGCACTAGTTTGAAAAAAAAAATAACAAAAATTTCTTTAGTTACTCGTCATGCTTCAGCACATCATTCAGTTAAATCCAAAGATTCAAGTAGATACACACAATGTTTGGTCAGACTGCCTGACCTAAACATACCAATTCGTTGAATCGGAGAAAATTTCCTTTCTTTTATCTTGTTAAATAGTTTTGTTTTTTTAAAAAATGTCTTACAAAATTTTTTAACAGTTATTTTTTTTTGAAATAAATAGAAACAAGTAGTAACAAAGAAAATTAAATATCAATTTCATATTTTTTTCCTATTTTAATTATTAAAAGTAAATATTCGCTTACTTTATTCTATTGTAAAAACTAATATAAATGATGATTACTAAAATATAAAGAAAATATATTGTTCTCGTCACGCTTCAGCACATCGTTCCGTTAAATTCAGAGATTCAAGTAGATGCACACTAGATTTGGTCAGACTGCCTGACTTAAACTTACCAGTTCGTTGAATCGGAGAAAACTTCCTTACTTTTATCTTGTTGAATATTTTTGTTTTTTTTAAAAATGTCTTACAAAATTTTCAACAATTATTTTTTTGAAATAAGTAATAACAAATAGTAACAAAGAAAATGAAATATCAATTTCATATTTTTTTCCAATTTTAATTATTAAAAGTAAATATTCGCTTACTTTATTCTATTGCAAAAACTAATTTAAATGATGATTATTTAAAATGTAACGAAAATATATTGTTACTAGTCACGCTCCAGCACATCGTTCCGTTAAATCCAAAGATTCAAGTAGATACACACTATATTTGAATCTTTAATATATTGTTCTCGTCACGCTTCAGCACATCGTTCCGTTAAATCCAAAGATTCAAGTAGATACACACTATATTTGGTCAGACTGCCTGACTTAAACATACCAATTCGTTAAATCGGAAAAAATATCCTTTCTAGTATCTTGTTAAATATTTTTGTTTTTTTTAAAAATGTCTTACAAAATTTTCAACAATTATTTTTTTGAAATAAGTAATAACAAATAGTAACAAAGAAAATGAAATATCAATTTCATATTTTTTTCCAATTTTAATTAATAAAAGTAAATATTCGCTTACTTTATTCTATTGTAAAAACTAATATAAATGATGATTATTTAAATATAAAGAAAATATATTGTTCTCGTCACGCTTCAGCACATCGTTCCGTTAAATACAAAGATTCAAGTAGATACACACTATATTTGGTCAGACTGCCTGACTTAAACATACCAATTCGTTAAATCGGAAAAAATTTCCTTTCTAGTATCTTGTTAAATATTTTTGTTTTTTTTAAAAATGTCTTACAAAATTTTCAACAATTATTTTTTTGAAATAAGTAATAACAAATAGTAACAAAGAAAATGAAATATCAATTTCATATTTTTTTCCAATTTTAATTAATAAAAGTAAATATTCGCTTACTTTATTCTATTGTAAAAACTAATATAAATGATGATTATTNGCGTCTGGACTCTACGCTCTCTGGCAAAGAACAAAGGATGGCTATAATTAGCTGTTTTAGAGTCATTCAAGCGCATTACTTTGACACTGAAAAGCAAAGTTAAATAGACCATATGGCTGTTCCTACATGCAGTGTGCTCCATCACTTCAGTCCCTTTAATGACACGCAAGGCATTAGAAGATCTCGTTACCTTCCAGCAAGATTACCCTATCGACCGGGTAACTGCCAATTCGTCAGGCGTCTTACTAAAGCGCAGCTGATGTTTTCTTACCTACGTTGATCTGAATGGATAATTTCGAATCAATGAGTGGCACCTGGGGTACTTTCTCGATGTTATATGCACTCGATTCACTACCAGTAGTTCTGGGCAACAGATGGGTCAACTCCCAGCAGTATGAGTCACAGTAGCATGTCCTTTCACATATACGGGTATTGATCTTGTAGAAGCAATACTGATCTTGTTCTCGAGAGGGCGAGGCAAAAAAAAGGCCAAGGGCTACATCGTTAAATTTATTTGTATGATCACGTACAGTGTACATATAGAAGCAGTATTCCATCTCACAACGAATGCCTTTTTTGTGGCCTATTCACGTTCTTCTAATACAGATATTGCACTATTCTTTACTCCAAGAACGCAACCAATTTTAAGGGTACAGCATCTGAGCTTTAACAGATGTTATGTAAGTCGTCAGAGTTTGCCAACATTATAGTTGACAGCTTGGCAGCCCAAGCTACGGACTGGCTTTTTATTTTACCTTCTTTTCCTCACTTTAGCAGTCTATTTAAAGCTGTGGTATGTAGCATCAAGTGCAACATTAATCAATAAACAAAACAGATTTAGCTATTATAAAATTAGCAGAATCAAAAACTAAATACGATCCCGCTTAGGAAATTGAATGAAGTATTTGATAATAATAAGGATATTGCACTATATGACTCTGAAGCCAGTGTAACATTTATAAACTTAAAATTTTATAAGAAATAACAATAAACAAACAAAATAAGTGGATTCAAAATGATACAAACATAAAATGGGCTAGTAGATGCATATGGAATAGCAACAGGAGATGAAAGATCCTTACTGTACATAAATAATTTTCATTTATAATTATTGAAAGAAATTTATTCAAGAATAATTTGTTGGTCAACTTAGATTATATTTTAGTTTCTTATATGTAAAAATAAAAACTTAGAAATCGATCAGAATTTGAGTTCAACTACTGAATATGTAAACATGAAACTCAATCAGAGTGTGAAAGTAACACTTGGAAAAAAAGTAAGATAAATAATTTGAATAATCTTTTAACAAAACATGATTTAATGTTTGCTAAAGAAAAATTTGATATTGGTATTGAATCCTACGTGTAAAAAAGTGTATTTAAAAAAAATTAAATTTCAATTCATCCTTCTGGTCTATTTCCTTACGAGATAAAGAAAAACACAAAACGGCTTTTGAGACTCATTATGGTCACTGGCAATAAAAATGTTTGGCTTCTGGCTTGAAATTAGCCCCAGGTATATTTCAACGAATTCTTTTAAGTACGGTGGGAGACAATGATTTAGATTCTTTTTCCATAAACCACATAGATTGTTCAAGTTCATTATTTTATTTTTTTTGATTTGATGTCACAATTGACAATACATACAAAAAGCAACACAAGAGGAAGAACCTGTTAATTTTCAGTCGTCAATTTACTTCGGAATCGAAAAGTGCGAACTGATCGACTCACCTGAAAACTCGTAGCCATCATTCGGGCGCATCTCTTGCGAGTAAAGGTCGCGCCTGAATGCGTACGAGTTACTACGTGGACCAGCGATGCGCAGGTAAGCCGGTGAAAGCGCTTGTGCCATGCTTATGCTTTTCTCGATGTCGCTGTAGGAAAATTTAATGTTGAGCAACCGCCGAAATAGATTTTTCTTAAATTGCTTGTAAATGCAAAATATAGTCTTGTTCATTAGATGAGTATCGAATTATCATAATGTCCATTTGCAGTACTTGTCAAATGCTTTGGTAGTAGTTGTTGTGAAAAAAAAAAGATTTTTTCTTCATTTAATATGAATTTTGTTAGTTTTACTTAACCCTACCAACGATTTTACGTAGGACTACAGTAGAAATTAAACGAAATATTATTAATTGAGCGTAAAAAAAAAATTCTTGAGGAATTCAAATGTTCAAGATGAAATGAAATAAAATTTTGATATTATGGTAACATATTTTGTGCAATAATAAATATCACAGGTATTCCTGTTTTGTCTTATATTGTACATTTATTTTTACTGATAGATTTTAACGACTTACATCAATAAAAATAAAGTAAATTACTATTTTTGTTATATACACTTCATTGCAGCAACATTAAGATGTATATTAATTATTTATCATGTCTATTTATCATTAATTATTAAAAGTAAATATTCGCTTACTTTATTCTATTGTAAAAACTAATATAAATGATGATTATTTAAAATATAAAGAAAATATATTGTTACTCGTCACGCTTCAGCACATCGTTCAGTTAAATTCAGAGATTCAAGTAGATGCACACTAGATTTGGTCAGACTGCCTGACTTAAACTTACCAGTTCGTTGAATCGGAGAAAACTTCCTTACTTTTATCTTGTTGAATATTTTTGTTTTTATTAAAAAATGTTTTAAAAAATTCTAATAATTGTTTTTTTAAAACAATTTAGTTATTAAATTATGTTAAAATTTTGTCTACTCAAATATACATACACATGTATTGTTGAAAGAGCATGTTTTTATCCACATGAGAGTGAAAAATTTTTCTCAGACTCGAAATATTTGCGTATCCAGTGATACGTTCATCAGATAGTCAAAGATAACGACGTGGACGTACCATATCCGAGTTGCCAGCTGGCGTTGTAGCCCAAGCGGTCGCTGAAGGAAATGAGGTCGAGGGCGTTCGTGGGCTCCCATGAGTGACTTTTGTCCGACAGCCGAGGCGCTATACATGCTATCACGTCCAGGCCTGCTCGTCTGGCCCACTTGTTGACGAGAGTCCACTGTGCTTCTAAACATTGATACATATCGACCTGTCATACTTGTGTGTAAGTGTCAGAAAGGTTCGAAAAAGTTTGGCAAGTTCAAGGATTTTTTTTTTTTACATTCTTATCTCGGTCTGATTTTTTCTTCCTTTAATATTTTACATTGTGCATCTCTTTCACCTTTCACGATTGAACTATGGTATCCGAACTCGAGGCTACGAATTCTCATGATACTCTGGGATATGATTTATAACTCAATGATAAAATAAAATGTTGCTTTTAGAAATATCCTATACACTTTTGTACTCGACGCATCGCACGTTTTCGCGGGTCTTCGATATACACATTCAAAGTACTTCAGTTTGTCTTGAATTAAATTCAAAAGTTATAAAAAATGCTATTGGTGATATCCTATTATTTTATTATAAAATAATGTTCAAGTTCATTATTTTATTTTTTTTGATTTGATGTCACAATTGACAATACATACAACACTATATTTGGTCAGACTGCCTGACTTAAACATACCAATTCGTTAAATCGGAAAAAATTTCCTTTCTAGTATCTTGTTAAATATTTTTGTTTTTTTTAAAAATGTCTTACAAAATTTTCAACAATTATTTTTTTGAAATAAGTAATAACAAATAGTAACAAAGAAAATGAAATACGATGCGCAGGTAAGCCGGTGAAAGCGCTTGTGCCATGCTTATGCTTTTCTCGATGTCGCTGTAGGAAAATTTAATGTTGAGCAACCGCCGAAATAGATTTTTCTTAAATTGCTTGTAAATGCAAAATATAGTCTTGTTCATTAGATGAGTATCGAATTATCATAATGTCCATTTGCAGTACTTGTCAAATGCTTTGGTAGTAGTTGTTGTGAAAAAAAAAAGATTTTTTCTTCATTTAATATGAATTTTGTTAGTTTTACTTAACCCTACCAACGATTTTACGTAGGACTACAGTAGAAATTAAACGAAATATTATTAATTGAGCGTAAAAAAAAAATTCTTGAGGAATTCAAATGTTCAAGATGAAATGAAATAAAATTTTGATATTATGGTAACATATTTTGTGCAATAATAAATATCACAGGTATTCCTGTTTTGTCTTATATTGTACATTTATTTTTACTGATAGATTTTAACGACTTACATCAATAAAAATAAAGTAAATTACTATTTTTGTTATATACACTTCATTGCAGCAACATTAAGATGTATATTAATTATTTATCATGTCTATTTATCAATAAATGAATGGTTAAAAGTATACGGCTATACATTCTTTAGCGGATGAATTTTATGAAGCAGTGCGGTGTAGCCAAGATTTGCTTGATTAAATGGTATCACTATAAGCCTCGTTAAATTGAGTTTGTACTACTTTAACAGTAAGTTTTTTGTACCATGTATTAGTTGGATCAGTTCACAGATTTATTCAGTGACATATTTATAAGTATTTTATATCTATTAACTGAATGAGTGTTTAGTGGATGAAAATCCATGATGATATTTTATTTTATTTGTATTACAAAATTGAAAAATCATATCTTAAATTAGGATGTATATTTGATGCAAAATGGTGCCCTACCCCCCCTTTTTTTTTTAATTATAAATAGATATGTCAGAGTTGTTAATGGACGACTAGTGTATAGGAAAAGAAGTAATTTTTTTTGTACATATTTACGGCAAGATCGTATAATAATTGTCATTGTATTTTTTGTAAGTAGCCAATGAGTAAATGTGAGACAATAAAATAAGTAACAAAGTTCGCTTGAATGGTTTGTAAAAAAAATCACCGTACAAGTAACTGCGTTGTCATGCATACGTTTCAGTGAAACGCGCCTGTTAAAGTGAAAAGTATCGGCATGAGTTTCCTCAGACAAGTACTTACCTCAGCGTATCACCACCGAACAAAACAACGGGATCGAGCGTAATACTCAAGAACTTGTCGCTGACGACTGCCAGGGGCCTTTTACCGTTCACGTTTATCGTCAACTCCTCTTCCGTCGCTGCCAAACCGACGCTCAGACCCGAGATCAAGAGCACCCAGCTGCCCACAACGATTTTTCTACTTCGCGCCATTTCTCTCTTTTTTTTTTTCAACTCATTAGATGTAGGGCACGCATTTACTCACGAAGGATAGTTGTGATAAATTTAAAAAATATAAACAATTCAAAAGGAAAAATTCAATGAAACAAGGTGCTGTAGAATCAAATAAGTCGTCCCGCACTGCGTTCATTTGTCGACTGAGTCGATCCTTTTGCTGGAAACAATACCACGGGTCATGGACTAATTTGAAGCGCCAAAAAATTCGCCAGTTGTGATTTTGAAATCGGCATTTGTGCTTCGTTGCTCAAGACGAGATATGTAGGTCGGCCTCCTGGAGTTTTGCTGGCGCAGCGAAACCCGAAGACGATCGAGCCGCTCTCGTCGACGATTGCGTTGTATGTGCTTTGGAATATACCTGAGTGTTGATTCATCCCAGGTTTGAGAGAATGTCGGTGAAACGATACTTACATCCGAAGAATATTGATGATTGATAATGAGGAGAACAATTTTCTTGTGGATGAATGTGACAACAGTATCGAGATGAAAATAAAATTCAATTTGAAAAAAAGTTTGCAAAAATGATACGAAAAATGAACGCAACCTATGATTGCTGTAGATCACGACAATAACGTAAAAACCATTAATTTGAATTTTCAGTGATAAATTGTTTATCTTAGTCGGTCGAGTAAATTAGAATGGAAGGTTTGCTGACAAACTCGTGATATTGATTTGTTGTTGCGAAAACTTGCAAAAAAAAAAAAAATTAAAGTTTGAGGAATGCAAAGCAAACAAGAGTAAAGACAAGCAATTTTGGTAACATTGTTGATTTTTTATTTATTTATTTTTTTTCCTTCAAGTGGTTAGAACTAAATAACATAAATTTCTTGTTAATTCATTGTTATTATAAGTATTATTATTATTATTATTTTGTATTATAATTAGTAATATTACTATNACGATTTATTCGGAGGTGTTGGAGATCGGTGCATGAGGAAGTGCCTAGTTTTTTTTTTTTTTTTTGTTTTGTTTTATTTCATCGTTAACTGAACGTTAAACGTTAAATAGGCAATTTGCTTCTTTGGTAATTATATACTTTTAAATACTATTCGAGGGATACAGTTTATATATCATCTTTATCTTCGTACAACGGTCCGTTCTATATAGTTTCAATTTACAGTGTTAGCATAAAAATAATAAGGTTTCAAATATCTTTATGACAAACTATCAAAAATTTGAAAAAAAGATACAATTTTTTTGGACCTAACTGAGTCAGTAACATATTTATATAATAACAAATCATGAAAACTATAGCTATAATACAAAAGTAATAAGAAAGTGATTTGTAATTTATTTAAATGACTGTTTAAATATTGAATTACCAAGATAATCAGTAGTAGAAAATAAAATCTACGAAGGAAGTCCGACGACAGGTCGTCAATGACGTATTTTTAATTTGGTCTGCTTGTCCATGATTTATCTAATCATTTTCTTTCAACTTTGAATTTCCATACTTTGATAAAATTGGAATGCGCACCATTTTAATCATATTTGATGGATTTTTTCGTGGATAATTTACACGAAGCTAAATGTTAGGTTAGGGTTGGGTCAGTAATGTAGATTTCACACAGCTTAGTCCCTATTTTGTCTCTTAGTCGCGCTCCGACGTCAGTTTCGGTGTATGTGTGAAACGCTTAATTCCAAGATGTATTTCACTTCATGGGTATCAATATATATATATACATATATATGTATGTATTTATGTGTATAATATATAATATAATATTAATATATATCTAACAACAACATATTAGCATCACTGTCACTTTTTTTTCTTTAAGTTTTACACAATATAAGGTTCAACAACAAATTTGTTCGCTTTTTCCTTCTCAGTTTCTCTCTCGCTCGCTCTTTTGCTCATTTATTCTCGTTCGCCACTATTTTCTGCTTTACTGATTGTTTCTTAATTTCTACACACGGTTATAATAATTATCACTTATATTTAACTCGTCCTTTTATACATGGTGTTTTCACTTTTATTAACTTTTTTCTCTACTTATTTAACACGTATATTTATATCGTTCAATTTTCACTACTACGAGCTACTACCATTTCCGATTTTTTTTTTTTTTTTTTTTTTCTTGACGACTTTTACCAACTCAGTTTTAATCATTGTAAAAAAATTATCTTTATTACAATTCTTAGTATTTATTTTATTTTTTTAAACATTGCTGAGAAAATTTCTCAAAATAAAATATATTCATGATATTTTTTATAAGGTGTCAATTTTGTTGAGTTGGGGAAAAATAGTTGTACTTATTCAAGGGTTGGGTATAAACTATTGCTTCCTCAATCTCTTGCATCTCTTTTAGTCTTCTGCTCATATTTCACTTAATATTTTTATTTTTAGTTTTATTTCCCCTACACAAAGACATCGTGTTTTATAACTTTATTTTATCGTTTTTATTTAACGA